ACAGGTGGTTATAACACGATATTGCCTCACAACACATTTCTCAGAACATAATTCCCCAAGTCATAAGCTATGCATGAGTGTATTCACATAGTTTACATTGCACTAAGTATTATAAGCAATCTATAGATGATTTAAAGTATACAGGATGATGTACATGTGCTGTATACAAATACTGTGCCATTTTATGTAAGGAGCTTCAGCATCTGTGACATTTGTTATCTTCAGGTGTCCTGGCACGAATCCCTTGTAGATAACAAGGGCCAACTGTAATGCAGGTAAAGTATTTTTCCCAGTGCAAAACTCATAGAATGTGCTCAGTTAATAGTAAGTACTATGATGAGGATGAATCAGAGGATCTAGGACTAGTTTGTTGTTCTTCTACCAGAATGCTGGTAGAAGATTTTTCTTCCTCTTTATTATCCTTGATTTTTATAAGCTGAACAAAACAAAGCAAAATGGCATAGAGGAAATGGTGGTATGATTGCCACATTAATTTTTAGTCTGTTATTTCTAATTTATGAATGTGAGGCTATATTTTTCACCTTAAGGATAGCTTTGACCACATTCCATATGTTTTATTATATATTTTTATTACCTTTAAGTTATAATATTTTCTAAACTCCTTGATTAATAAAATTAAAAGTACATACTTAAATTTATGAATATATTTATCTTTTGTTACTGTTTTCTAAATTGCATCTCAGAAAGTGGATGAGATCTTTATTATATAGGTTATTTGAAATGTGCCTACTATTTAACATTTGGTCACTTAAAATAAATATTCTATATGTGCTTGAGAAGAATTTGTATTTCCCAATTATTTTCTGTAAATACAATATATATTTATTGGGTCAAGCTTGTTAATTATATTGGCTCACTCCTGTATTCTTCCTAATTTCTCATTAATGTATTAATTCCTGAGAGAGGAATATTGGTATCCTCCACTATCGTATTAGCCCCATCAAACTCTCTTTGGATTTCTGTCAATGTTATTACTTTGTTACATCTTTCTGGTGAATTGAATATTTCAATACCATGTCAGGACTTTATATTTAATGATGCTCTTGGTTTGCAGTCCATTATGTTGGTCTATATGCCAATGTTTGGTTGGTATATGCATCAGTATTTATATTGAAAGATTGTGCCTGTTTCCCACACATTCCTTAACGTGCTAATATGATAAGCCAAGTTTATAAATTAGACTTTAGTGACACGAATGGAAGACATAAACTGCACACATGTACCTTTTAATGGCAAAGGTTATGGGACAAGAAACCTCTATATGCCATTCGAATCTTCCCCATAAAAAGGGCATCCTCTTGATGAGAAAGAATTTCAGCTTGCCCCTGTGCACACAGTATCCCATAATTGAAAGCACTGTCAATCATTTTTGCATAGATATGCTTTATTACATAATATGGATTACTGTACATATTATGCTTTTTTGCATAATTATTTTTGCATTCTATTTATCAAGTAATGATACCATACTTTATGAGTGACTTAAGGGATTTTTAAAAATAATGTTTATTGACTTTTTAATGATCTCATATAACAATATGATTCTGCTGCACTCTTATTAATCATTACTAAAAATCATTTTAACAATTGTCTAGTCAACCACTCTTACACTGCCACTAATTGCTCTGGACTCACTTTCACTGATGTTGGCCCTCTTGAACTCAGGCACTTAGCTTTGTACCTCTATTGTAATATTTTCTTGGCTTCCTTGGAATATCTCCTGGTCTACCTTCCTTTATGGGCATTGCTTCTTTATAGTTTTCAGCTCAGCTTATATTTTTGCCCTCAGTAATAACCATGACATGGACTAAGTATTCCTGCTCTCAAGACTTATGTAACAATTTCACACACCAAGTATGATTGACTTCTCTATTCAAGGAATTTTATTCAAACATTTTTAACAAATCTTTGTCGAGTGCCTATTGCATGTCAGGACATGTTTTGGGTACTAGAGTTTTAAAAACCGTAGTCTTACATACAAATGTGCATGGTCACACGGACATTGTAAAAGGTGATTTAGGGGAGAACTAATAATATGCTATTATTAAGATAATGAGCATCATGAAATATATACACAAAACAATAAATTTATCTCATCTTTGAGTGAGATAAAGGCACTTTCGATCTGTAGAGAGGATAAAGTTAAGTAATTAAATTTCTATTCTCTATAATGAGAAATTTAGAATAAATATGAATGAGTTCTTAATCAGTGTAATGAATCAAGGAAAGAATTTGTTTAATCAAATTATTCTAAGTAAGATACATTCTCATTTGTCTTTGATAGCTTGAGTGGGGTATTCCCTGAAGGCATCTGTGGAGTAGATGATAATCAGTTTCAAATACTCAGATTTGATGGTGAATGTTTCACTATTTTTTATTGTAGAGTCTTGTACCTTAAGTTTGTACTTTAACAAATTAGTTTCAGTTGCTGACATTAATTATGGTCATTTTGACTAAAGCCATCTAGAAAGCTATCACTTTGTTATTTTACCCCCTCAGTTTATCAGTGCGTGTGCTTTTGGATACCTCTGGCCTAGTTTCTTCCCAGGTGTCTTGCCTCCAAGAAAGCCCCCAGTGATTCTGCCTCCTGGTATGTGAACCCTTGTATCACGCTTTCCCACAGGGTACAATATGGCAGAAGTAGTGGTGTACCACTTCCAGTATTAGATGATAAAGATTGTCCCTTCTGTCTCTGGAGTTCCCTTGCTCATGGACTCTCTCTCATTCCTTGGATCATCTGCTCTGGGAGAAGCCAACTCTATGGCCTGAGGACATTTGTTGAACACTGAATAGCAAGGAATTGAGGGTCCCACACCTATACACCATGGGGAACTGAGGTCTTCCACTAACCACATCAATACCACCTTACAAGTAGATTCTTCAGCCCCAGTGAGCTTGAGATGCCTGTGGTCTCAGTCAACAGTGTGACTGCAACTCATGGGAAACCTTAAGCCAGATCCACCCAGCAAAACTGCTTCCCAGATTCTTGAGCCTCAGAATGTGAACTCATCAAAGTTTGTTGTGCTAAACTGCTAAGTTTTGGGGTAATTTGTTATGTATTAATAGATAACTTATATACTAGGTCCCTAAGAAAATCTACCATAAAGATGTAATTTGTCATGAGATAAGACATCGTACTGGAGCCTCTTCCCAAAGAATTTTGACTGGTCCACGGATTCCTTAAGAGGGGAATAGCTTCATATTTTCCCCTGTGTCCAGCCCTTTATAGTTTGTTCCAGTAATGAATGGCTGGGATGATTTTGTTTCCTTCATCAGAGCCCTAAGTTACTTACTGATTATAGGAACATTTGCAGAAAAGCATTATTTTATATTTATAATTATATGTACATATGTACACATCTACCTGCATATAACAATATTAAAAAGCGTTCTATTTTTACCCGCACATAGGTACTATGTAGAGACAGAAAAAGGAGAGCTAGTTAGATCATTCATACACAAACACACACATATGCATAAATGTATACTTTTTTATATTCATATTCATTTTACATTTGTGCACATATGTATATTTACACACATATGTATATATTTTACATTTTGCATTTACACACCTATGTGTATATTTATATATATATTTATCCTTGTCTATCTACATATAGACACACATATATAAATGCAAGCCCTATACATATAGCTTTATCTGTATTTATCTGGCTATAGAAATTTTCCATGGGAATTCAAACTAAGGAGTATTTATTGATGGTTAGAAAATTAAAGGAAAACATTAATTAGAGTAATAATTTATTTTACTATACATCAGCCCTTTAAAAATTTTCATAAAATTAAAAAAGGAAAAAGAATAGAAATATTACTTCATGGATTCCAAATATGTGTGTAGATAGTGTTTTTTTGTATACACAGGTAAAATTTCCTCTTTAATTTACTCTATGAAGATTTATAAAGTTTATTTTTAAAAAATACAGATCAAGATAAAAATTGAATCTTCTTTTGCTTTTTTTTTTTTTGAGACGGAGTCTCACTCTGTCCCCAAGGCTGGAGTGCAGTGGCACTATCTCGGCTCACTGCACACTGCAACCTCTGCTTCCTGGTTTCAAGTGATTCTACTGCCTCAGCCTCCAGAGTAGCTGGGATTACAGGTGTGTGCCACCATGCCCCACTAATTTTTTGTATTTTTAGTACAGACAGGGTTTCACCATGTTGTCCAGTCTGGTTTGGAACTTCTGACCTCAAGTGATTCGCCTGCCTTGGCCTCCCAAAGTGGTGGGATTACAGGCATGAACCACTGTTTCTGGCCAAAAATGGAATCTTTACTGAAATTATTTATTTCAGTTTTTCCTTGAGATGCTAAATGCAGTAAGTATAATAACTCCATTACCAAATTACTATCTTATCAACTTTAATTAATTATCTCTATATTACTGTAATTATGTTATTGAAGAAAATACTACATAGTAGAGTCAACTTAAAATCTGGTGATATTCCATGCATAATTGTCATTCACTTCTATTGAAACGCAAATAATTCTTGGCTAATTCTCATTTTATCAAGGTACAGTTCTTGCAAAATACCACTGAAACCTGGTGAGGATCAGAGTGATTTTTTTTTTCTATTTTTGAAGACTCTCCATCTCTCTGTATGTGTACGTGTTTTTGTCTTACTATGTTTTCTTAACTGGCATTAGCCATTTAAACCCAAACATGAAAAAGAAAATTTTAGAGCAGCCACTAAATAGAATGAGTATTTTCTAGTTCCACAATGATATATTGGTAATGGCAATTGTTTAAATATGGAAAATGGAAGAAGAAAGAAAATTAAATATTTATTTTGAATCTAAACATGTAAAATGTGATTTTAAGAATATGGATAAACCTATGCTGATTAATTCCAAAATTTTATGACATTTTTGCTTCTGCATGTAAGAACATGACAAATTGCATTCTACTTAGAAGCTATGTGAAAATGAACCCTTTTGTGGAAAACTCACCACCACTCACCTGTGCACCCAGGTTTCTGGAATGTTGTGTGCGGCATACACTGTGAAGCTGAGGTGGGAAGGAAGCCCGGGATTTAGATAGGAAATGCATCTGGGTACATTTACAGGCTGAAAATCTGCATAAAAGCTGTTACAATAGACATTGATGAGCTGGTAGATGGATGTGGATAGTTCAGTTGTTACCTTCTCTATCAAGCCTAGAAAGGAAGAGGTAGAGATCAAGTCACTAACAAGGGCCATATTTATCATAGGCCATCAATTACAGCTTTGAAATTTCTTATAATACAATTTAAATAAATTTAATTCAAGTGACCCTTTACCAACTGAAGACAATTGACTATCTGTACCTCTGAATGCAACCTGGCTTAGTTGATAGTAGATTATTTATCAATAAGCTTTCTGATCTTCAGCTGCAGAAATCTTCGAAGCATGGCCTTTTCATCACAATTTGGAATTTTAAAAATTATTACTTTGACATTCTGATCAACTGTAATTTGCAATATTTTTTTTCAGATTTGTGATTGTTTAAAATTAATTTTCAGACAAGGAGTATTTTTTCTACATGACTTATAAGTACATCAAACAAATTCTGTCTAAAGAATTAATCATAATAAATTTGATGATGCTATCATGTTTACCATTAACTGAACACTAATCATATGCAATGCGCTGATATAAAAACAGAATGAAAATAGTACATGGCTAGGATTTAAAACCAGCTTGAAATGAAAGATTTATGATGTTTACTGTATCTCTTCAAAATCAAAGCCTTTCTTGAGTTTTGCCATTAGTTATTTAAAAGGAGTCACTGGTTATTCCTAAAAGTGATTTGTCATGAAAGAAGAAAAATTACTATCGGTATAGGGGCTAATAGTTTTTCTCTGGCAGCTAAGTAGATATTGAGAACAAGTAAGCACATCATCAGAAATTGTGTTTTGCTTTTTTTTAATCTGCTGTGATATGAATCCATGTGCTGTTAGTCAATAAAGTTGTTTATTCAAACACACGCAATTATTTAAAGTTGTTTTGTTTTAAAACATGCAATTCCCTATATAGTAGTTCAGTCTTAACAGTACCTTTTGCTTTCCACAGTTGTTACCCCAAAGTAAACTAAGTTAAAAAAAATTAAGTGAAAATTCCAGAAATATACAATTATAAGTTTAAAAAACATGAATTGCCTTTTGTTTCTAATTGTTTGGAAACGAAAATAGCACAGAGCCTAGATATTTCCTTTGATAATCTACAGTATTCCAGCACACAGGCAGTTGGATACTTCAGGAAAGTGGCCAGCTTGACATGGAGCTTCTTCCCACATCCTGTCTGTGCCTCCAGTAGCTCTGTCGATAATTAAATATTTTGTTGTTGTTTAACACATGCTGTTTTTCACTTAGTTTTCATAAATTTGTAACAAAATATATAAGGTAGATTAACTTTCTTATTTGTTATATTTCTTAAATTGTGCCTCTGTTGAAACTGCCTGGGGCGACAAGCAGAGGAAAAAGAAAACCTGTAATTAAAATTCTCTGAGAAGTCAGCAGCAGCAATTAATGAAGCAGAAAGTAAAGCAGTGTAAAAATAGTCTTAAAAGAGGCCACATCAAACTCTGGAGGCCAACGAATAGAGATTCTCCTGAACAGCAGAAGGCAGAGAATTATAAATGTATAGAAACATCTTTTTCTCTGTCTCCAAATTGTACTCTTGGTACCCGGAAGCAGAAAAGCATAAACTTCTTTTCAAGAATCCCAACATTGTGCAAATGAACACACATCTAAAACAAATCATAAATTTATTAATTTAAGCGCTAGCATATATTTTGGGGGAACTTAGTCATTTGGTTAATTACTCAAACTCTACTTTTTGCTTTTTTTGGTGCAGAAACTGGTTCTTGGAATATAATTTCGCTACTTTAAGTTCGTGCCAGTAGTACCGACTGGTATGCTTATGCATTATGTTTTACTTCCTGAACTCTGGATGAAGACTACATTTCAAATAACATCATGAAATCGTATTAAGCACCCAAGACACAGGGCTTGGTAGTGAAATATGGTGAGAAAAGAGTTTATTGCACCTAATTTTACTCTGGAAAAGAGTTACAGTGCCATGAAATAAAGAGGCAAGGACAATCTATGTGCAATTTAGACTCAATTAAAATCTGTCATGATTTATTATAGGATATAAGTCTCCAGGAACATTTCTGTACAGTTTTGTGTGATCTCATATTCTAGTCCCCAGAGGAATATGGGGGAGGAGACCTCATTACAACATTCCTGATAGAAAAGGAGAATCAATTTTATACACACACACCTCCAGCTTGATCACTTCATGTTCGACCACTTAGATTCTGCTAGTAATACTGTCAGAGAGTGTCCATTCCTTCCTTCCCTCTATTGTGTTCTAGAGTTTTATGAACACCTAGAATAGGGGTTTTTGTACTTGCACAAGTTTCTTTATACCCTCTGCCACCCTATTTTCCTTTTTGATGTGAGATGGGGGAGTTCCTCAAACATAATTGAATGTCTTCTTTTGAGTGGTAGGAATTAGAGTTGAGAGGATATACTTTTGTCCATGACTACTGAAACAGTTAAGGGTGTGGAGGACAGGTGAGGTTTTCATTTGCTTTCCAGTGGATTTTTCTGAATCCAAGTGTGTTAGTCGAACATGTGAGGGGCAGACAGTTTTCTTGCAGATACTCAGAGTATTCCTGTGCCAAATACCATCTACAACAAAGAATGATCCTGACCAGACCCTGCACATTAAATCCTATTATATTGTTTATGCCTATTAGGATAACAAGCTCAAAGAGTTTAATCTAGAATCACAGACTCTGAAAGTAGAATCTTTGATTTAAAACCAGTTGAGATTTGAGTTGGGAGAGTTGAAATTCAAAACCAGTTCTGCCTGATTCCAAAAGTCAGACTCTGCTCTATCCCACACAATCTCACACCTCCTGTTTTCTATAGAGGCAAAGTCCTCCCGTGGCTTGTAATTTTATAGACTCAGGGCCTCTGTAAACACTAATTATTCCAGAACCAAATCCTCCTACCTGTTATATTAGCTTGGTCTTTCATATAGAGCTGGAATTTGAATTTGAAGTGGGTGACCTTGCAGACAGACATCTACCACTTTTCTAATTTTTCTTACATCAAAATATAATTAGGTAAATGGTAAAATTCTCAATGTCTTGGAATGGTTATAAGATATTTTCAGCATTTTAATATTTATAGATCTTTTTGTAGACTTTTCTCATTATTTTAAAAATATCAGGCTAAAAGTTTACGGAGTGTGGATTTTTATTCCCTTGCAGAATAAACACTTCCATTAATAAAAAGGATTTTAGAAAAGCATCTTTCTCCTCATAAGGCTGTGTGTGTGTGTGTGCGTGCGTGTGTGTGTGTGTTGTGTGTTACCACAGTATTTGGATAAAAAAATTATTTTGGATTCTATAACTTATTTTTTTCTTTTATTTATTTCAAAATGCTTGAGTACATGTATGTTTTACCTTTTGCTGAAGTCTCTGAACTTTGATAAAAATTCTGAAAGAAATGTAAAATTATGCTTGTTATTCACACAACAAATTCACAAAATAATCAAAAGGTAACGTCCAAAATCTAAACATTATAATTTCTTTGTCATGATAAAACAACAAAATATTTCTTGGCATCATATATCAATTTGCTTATTAAACAGAATAAATTTAAATTGTATGATGAAATAAAAACTTTCTAAATATTGTAATAAGCAATGTAGGTAATTTTTTAAAGGAGAAATTACCACGATAGATTGTCTAAGCTCAATCCCCTTTATATAACAGTGACTAATCTTTTGAGAAAAGTGCATGTCTAATTCTCTCTGTATGCCGTGTCCAGCTCTTATTCCTAGCAGTTATTCAGCAAGCTTTGGATAGCACCTAAAAGAAGACTGAATTGATGTGGACAAAATCAGTATAGATTCACTAAATAGTTTTCTTTCTTTTTTCCTTTTTAGGAAATTTTTAAAACTCTGATAGTCAAACACTTGAAAAAATAAAATATATTGAGTCATATCTTAAAAAATACAATCTGAAATCCTATTTTTTTGTTTCCATTTTCATTATTCTTTAGGTTCATATCCATTAGTGTGGTGCTTTTCCTTATTTACTTATTTTTATCCTTGTTAGAAACCTAGAATTACTTTGGTGGCTTAGGATTTGCTGGTTGTAACTGAACTATCATGAAAACTGTATAAGGTGATTTATAAACATCCTAAAAAATGGTTTCAGCCCAAAAGGAAATACAATTGTTAATAAGATCCATTTTAATTGCCATTAAAATGTTTTAAATTTATAAACTCAAAATTTTAAAAAAAGTAAAAATAAAAATATAAAATTTCAAGTCTTGCATTTAAGGAAATACAATTAGTTAAAAACCAGATTTCTCAAACAAATAAATTAGAGAATAATTGTTTTTCCATAACAAAAAATTTGTTACAGTATTCTTTTAGAGAGAGAGCATTTCGATCATGTTTAAAATGTCATTACATTTATATGTAACTTTTTAATTAGAAGCATCATTCGCATGAACCTTTTCAGAAGCACTTCTATTAGGTAAAATATTTAATCAGAGTATAGTATCAGTTGCTAGTCTTAACAACTACATATGAGATTTCCACCCTATCCATGCAGGTGAGATTATTAAAAATGTTAGCCTGATTTAACTAGAATTCAATTTATTCAGAAATATAGACTTGTATTAGAAAATCACCATGACATCCACCTACACTATGATATGAAAGACCATATTTTCACTTTGTGGTTCGCCTATTATGTAAGCATTTAATGGAAATTAAATTATGTGAGTTCTGGAATATAATTTGAAGGATGCAAATTGTTTCCAGTGCTGGGTCAGAGAATAAAATAGAGTACAAGTATGTTTGTCATATAATTCTTCATCTTCCCAAAGCTTACATTTAATAAACTCCTAATGACTTCCCTGTATGGCAGGAAATAGTCCTTTGTATGTTGACCAAAAATGTAGCCAAGAAAAAGAAAAGCTTCTCAAATTTCAGTTTGTTGGCAGAAGGCCTGTATTTGTCATTTCTTCAGTCTTAACTTCATGGTGGGTGGATAGACTGCTTTGGCATTGTTAACTGTAGCTGGTTACTGCACAAATTCTGTAAAATGTACTTAATATGTGTGCCAAGATTCTTATATAGGTGGGCTCACGATTAAAATGGGATGGAAAAAGAGATGAACAAAAGTATGAATGCAACTGATGCAGAATAAATGAGCTTTCAACAGTCTGCTCAAAATAAGTAGGATCCAGTTTTTAAGAATATTGAGCTATTTTATCTATTGACATATATTAAATAAAACTCCTGATTGTTAACTCCTTTCTTAATTTCTCTGCATGAAAATCATTGTAGTCTTATCAAAATATAGGATAAATATTTAGATATTACGAGTTTAAAAGTTTCAAAGAAAAATCACACAAAATTTTGTGTTTCTACTAGTACATAAGGAAAGTGAAATATGAAGGTGAGTTTTTTTTTGAGTATTATAATTGTTTATGGTTTTCCTACGAAATACCCAATCCTTTGTGAATAATTCTTTTAATTTCAAATATTAAGTTTGATATTTCTGAAAAATTGTCATTTTTGGTCTTTTAGGGAGTTTCAGAAAATGAGTGTTTTGAAGATAAAACTTTTTATAACCAGCAATACTTTAACATCATTCGAAATGCTTCATCCTAAGACTATATTTTCCTCATTGTTTGATCAGTTGTTTGTCCACCAATTCACCAAGAGCTGGACATAAAAGTAGAAGAATAATCAAATAGTCTTAACAGATGGGAAGACGTGTCCACATCCACACATCTGGTCTCTTCCTCTGGCAATGGTTCATATTTGTCAGGAGGCTGGCTGTAATCGATGGCCATGAGATGACAGGGGCCAACCTTCCTGGTGCTTGTGTGAATTAAAGCCTTCGTATAAGCCTTGTGGGAAAGATTCTCCAGAACTAGCACCAGCACCATCCTTAATACCTCCAGTAACAACAACGATCTCATTTAAGCTACACTGTCATCAGGGCCCTTTATTAACATTATTTCCCATACTTAGAAGAACCCTGCAAATTCTGATTTATTTTTCTGTTTTAAACATGAAGAAAATTAAAACTCCAAAAAGTGAGTTAATTTTCCACAGGATGTTTATATAGAAACTGGTAGATCTTATATCCAATTCATATTTGCATTATCTTATTTCATGTATTTTATCAGCTTTGGGAGCTTGTCATGTTTCTAAAATGTGACAATTTAAGAGAAATACCTGCCTGTTCAAAGTTAATTCTCACTACCTTGTTATACTGACTTAACATCACCAATTAGAAAGCCCCTTTTCAGCATCATGTAATTCCCAAGTTTTTAAGTTCATCAAAATAGTTATTTTCGAAACATACTGGTGAAATGCTTTTTAAGACGCTAGTACAAGCTTGTCCAACCCACGGCCTGTGGGCCACATGCAGCCCAGGATGACATTGAATGTAGCCCAACACAAATATCACAAATATGTAAACTTCCTTAAAACATTATGAGGTTTTTTTTTTTTTAAGCCTATCAGCTATTGTTAGTGTTAGTGTATTTTATGTGTGGCCCAAGACAATTTTTGCAATGTGGCCCAGGGAAGCCAAAAGATTGAACGCCCCTGCTCCCGTATATTTTTTTTACTCTGATGCAGAATAGAAAAATATGATTATATTACATGTGATCAAATCAGATTGTTTTACCTTGCTGTTACTTGTAAAGGCCCTATGTCTTAATAGCTACATACAAAAATAGTTTTGGAGACTACATAGTTACTCAGTTTCCTTCTATAATTGTAAAGTAAAAGAGAAGGTGTTTACTTTTTAAGAAAAATTTAGGGAAATGAACACAAATCTGTCTTCGATATTGAATTGCTGGATTTATTGATTACATTATTTAAATTTTGATTTATTTAATGCTTTGCATTTTTAGCTTTTCAGCAATGTTTATCTTTAAAATATTTTTGTGGTATACCTCCATGAGTCATCAAAATCGTCATTGTTCATGTAAAGAACGTATTTAAATTTCTATATTCATATTTTTACTGTCTAATCACACAAAACTTTGGATTAAATAAGATCTAGAAAGCCCATCATTAAGAAACTACTGAATTTTCATACCCACTTATCTATTTGAAACAATAAGCAGTAAGCATGATTATTTCTATGTAGTAATATGATGATCTACATTGTAAATCAATCTTTTGAAAATTTCAAGACTGGCATACTCAAAAGTAGTAGAATCTTTCTTGTTGTCTACCGTGCAGATAGAGATTATATGTATTCACTCTATCTTAGAAAGTTTCACATATACTGTAATGTGTATAGAGGCCTAGGTTCAAATCTGTATTTTGCCACTTATTAATTCTCTGTACACACACACTGTAAGCGTTGAGTTTTAATAGTGAAATGAACATTAAAATACCAACTTTATGACATTGCTATGAGCATAAATTGAGATAAAATAAAAATTAAATTCAATGAGGTAATGCATATGTCAAACTATTTTACATATTACAATGGACTAGCAAATACTAATTATTATTATCATCGTATCTTTCTGCTTTATCATCTGCTAAACTAATAATAAGATAAATGAATTTATTGTAACCAGATGTCCTAATGTTTTTCTTGGAAAATAATCACTTACAGGTCTATATCAGATTTCTGAGAATTCAAAAGAAAATCACATAATGTTCATTTTTTAAGCTCACCAAACCACAATGTGGGATCCAGAGAAAATCACACAGAAATCATGGAAGCAGTGTGCATTGCAAAATTCGCAAAAGATACCACAAAAATGGATTTTTTCTTTTTTATAAATGTGCTTATCCATACAAACATGACACTTATGCCTGTATACACTCGTATACGTGAGAACAATTAACAATCTATACAAACACTTATATGTGAATGTTATATAATTACGTTCATTTAGGTAGGATTATAGGATTGATTTCAGTACCACCTGAAGTTATAAGGTGGTTACAAACTTCAAAGGTGTAATCAATGTCCTTATAGTTTAATCAAATCTATTTGGCATAATAGACTCAAGCTGCCAATACTCCCAAACAATTGAAAAATACTGTTTGGCAGCGCGTGCGCGCACACACACACACACACACACACACAGATACACACACAATCACACAGACTCAAACATACACACAGAAATACAGTTGTTAGTAAAAAGTCTTTCACTCTCCTTAATTAAGTATTGAACTCAGGTTTAAAGCTATTGTGTAATAAATGAATATACTTACCTCTGCTTTTCTCTGAAGAATTAGACTTAGTTCATTTACTGCATCTGTAATTTGTTTGGTTTCCACACACCCTAGAACACTGCATATTTTTTTAACTTCTTCAATAATATTATCCACGTTTTCCTGTAGATAACCAAGATTCACATCTTACAATCTATTGAAATAAATGAGGGAACATCAATTTGTTCTCAAACTTCTTCTTTTTCCATGAGGAGCAAGTGGAATAAAATATGATTGTTTGCTTTCACATAAAAAGAAAGTTCTCAAGACTCTGGTTATCCTGTGACTGGGGCTTTAATTTTCACTGAGCAAATGTTCAAAATTAGAACTGACTTAACACTAACTTACTAACTTAGCTCTAATTTAACATTACTTGAAACAAAATGAGAGAGAGAGGTAGAAGGAGAGGAAGGGTAAGGAAGAAGGAGAGGAAAAGAGAGAGAGAGAGGGAGGAAGAAGTGTGGGGAAAGCAGGGAAACTCAGCCTTAGTGGTTTCCACAAAACACTATGAAAACAAAGTAATGACGGTCAACCCCGGGAGAGTCTCAAAATACACCTATTGTTTGGAATCAGGGTATAGTTGGGCAAACTTATTACAAAATCAGATTGACAGGGTTCAGAACAAACTCCGGACAGCCAGTTGTGGTGTTGAGGTGTTTGATAATCATCTGATTGCACATCCTTGAAGTGACTGATTTTCAAAACAATCGCTGATGACAAATACAATCTACTGATATAGTCTGGATGTCTGTCCTCTCCGAATCTCATATTGAAATATAAGCCCCAATGTTGGAAGTGAGGTCTGGTGGGAGGCATTGGGTCACGGGGGTGGATCCCTCTTGAATGGCTTGGTGCTGTCCTTGCAATAGTGAGCGAGTTCTCACAAAATCTGGTTGTTTAAAATTGTGCAGCACATCTCGCCTCTCTCTGCTCCAGCTCTCACCGGGTTAGACACCTGCATCCCCTTCACCTTCTGCTATGATTGCAAAGCTTCCTGAGGCCCTCACCAGAAGGTGATGCTGGCACCACACTTCTTGTATTGTCTGCAGAACTGTGAGCCAATTCAACCTCTTTTCTTTATAAATTACCCAGACTCAGGTATTTCTTTATAGCAACACAAAAATGGCCCAATATGCCTACAGCAATGACAAATTCCTAAAATCAACAATGCAGGCTGGCCTTAAGAGAGAGAGCGATTTTATGGTCACCATTCTAAGAATTATTCATTAGCCGTCCTATATCCCAGATGTGCACATGTTCTTAAATAAGCATTTATTTTTAAAAAAACCTTCTCTGTTTTGACCTTATTCTTTTCCATGTTTTGCCATTAACTATAGTGAAAAATCTCTCTTTTCTTTGATTCTGTGTGAATCATGTTTCACTCTACAAGGTTTTTATGTTCTTTGTCTTTATCATTAACAATTGTGTTTTCTCAAAAAACATCAGTTTTGTCACCAGCACCACCATCATTCCAATGGAAAATTACAACAGTTTATTTTAAGAAGAGATGGAACAGAGTTTTTCCTTTTATTTGCATACAAAGATATGTGTTCACAGCATAAAAAGATTTTAATTCTCCTTACATTTTCTTAACAAAGTGTCAATACAAAGACACAATGCAAGTTTTATATTAATGGGATAATACTTTGCTTCTTTTGTGGAAAAATGATATGTACTTTTAAATTTGTTGCCAGTATCTCTGATATGTAATTTTACAAATCCTGAAACCAATGACAAAAACCTGAAGAATAACTAATTAATACTATAAAAGACAAAATGAGGATTCCAAAAATTGTCTACAGATTTTATTAATGAGCTAAAAGTAAAAAGATGCAATTTAGTTGAGATCTATTTTAAGTCTTTCATGGATTAAAAAATATATTTACCCAATAATAACATGGAGAAGAAAAATTTATGAGTCATTCAAATGGAAAAAATCATTTATTTCACTATGCGTTAACTCAATATAAGTCAATATTGTGATGTGGCTACCAGATCCAGTTCATTATTAAATTGAATCAAAAGACACATACTCTGCATAACTAGAAAGTGAGTTCCACCACATTTTCAATATATATTATCCAAACTGGAGTTTAGTTTGGATACTAGATTTGAGAATGTACTTGATAACTTGAAAATTACCAAAGGACAACAATCTTACTATTAATATACTGTTAATACAGTATTCATTCAGAAGAGCATCATAGACACTACTGTCAGCTCTGAAGTCAAGATCTGTTTGTTTACATCCTGGTTCTGCCCCTTTCTACCTGCGGCCATCATCAGAGTATTTAACTTTCTTGTCCCTAGGCTCCCTCTTCTGTGAAGTGAGAATAATAACTAAGTTTCTGTAAAGATTAAATTAGATAAAATATGAAATATAGTGCCTGGCAGATAATGAGGGCTAAATTTTAATGTTTAACTAGTTAATTTTATTCATTCACACCAATCTTTCAGTTTATAAGAGAAATGAGACACTGTATACGCACAGATAACTAATAGAATAGAAATTAGAAAATCATAAAAGTTGGAAAAGTCATATTAGGTTCTATGTTTATTTTTTCATTCCTCTGTTCTAAGTAAATACGTGTGATACATGAGTTTGTGAAAATTCATCAACATTACTAAATACTGGGTTGACTTGGGTCACTAGGTAGCTGGTAGCTGATTTATTCAATCTATTACTCCAGTCTTGCACTACTTCTTATGTGATCCACTTATCTGATTTAATATTCACATTCTGAAGATAATCATTATATTCATGCATAACTGAGATTGCTAGAATATGTGAAGCAAAATATTGCAATTGCAAAATTGAGTTGGTGATTAATTGGATATGAGAACCAACAGAAAGGTTGGATTTAAGATGATTCCAAAATTTCATTTCCAAATTTTGGAAACCAAGAATACAGGTGCTATTCATTATGGCAGAAACACAGACAAAATGAAGATTTTTGGTAGAATCATGATGTGAGTATTTTTTGATACATAGGTTTTGAGCTTCCCAGAGGAAATGCAATGGAGTTCTATCTCTAGCAACTGGTGGACTGAGAAAATATAGACACACTACACCACACACACATACACACACCACATGGTGTGTGTATAAACATTAAACAAACTATAAGAAAGGTAGGATAAATCTTAGGGTTGCAAACATTTAGAGGGAACTTCAAGCCTGAGCAGTAGCTCCAACAGTGATGCTGCAATGGCCTGGAGGAAATATCAGACTAGATGTAGATCCTCAGCTGTAGGATTGGTGTTTATTGCTAACACTGGGAAACGTGCTGAAATCTTAGGACTAAATCACTTGGTGAAAGTAGGGGAAGGGGCAGGACTGGAGTTAAGATCCTCAAATAGTCCTCAAACATTGGATAGCAGCCACCTGTAAAAGGTGGGAGAAGAAAAACTGTTTCTACTGATCAGAAACACTTTTGACGAAGCCTCTCTCTACTCAGTCCTTGAGTAAGGAAAATTATTATCTGAGAAACTGAACCCTAGTCTGTGCTCTCTGTGTCTCCGGAGTATTAACTTGGACTATCATAGTAGGAATTTATGTTAAACATTACACTAGGCTATTGTGACTTTTTTGGACCCAAGCAGAAGTAAATGCACAATCATTGTATAGAAACACTTTTCTATACCAACCTACAGAGTTTTTTCCCAAATACACATATATATACAAATGCATGCACACACACACCAGAGTACGAGGGGAATATCAGTTTAAAACTTACAAACCCTATGATGGCTAATTCGCATTATGAGATCCCCTACAGATACAAAATGCAGTAGGGTGAGCACCCTATTTCAAGAAATAATAAAGGTAGACTTGGGCAACATTTTCATAGAGGTGATACATAGACAAAAATTTGAATATGATTATCCCAAGAGAGAATATAGAGAAAAAAAAGTTGAATGCTGGGTGCATAACATTTCAGAACTTTTATTATTTTAATGATGGAGGAGAAAGTTTGGGTCACAGATGGAGCACGCAGTGTGGAGACATAAGCCAGAAGACTATATAGCTTAATAGACATCAATGTGAAGGTAGCTGATAGTATTACAAAATTTTAGCTTGGCAAAAAAGAAAAAAAATAAAACATTATAACCATTTCAAGTATTTGATGGTCTTTCAGGTAAAAAGAGGAGTAGATTTCTTGTAAGTAGCTCTAAAATGATAAATGAGAACAAATGGTTGCAAACCTAGAGAGGTTCTTTTGACTCTCTAGTTTTTCTTAAAATTTTAAGAAAAGTTTTTCTTAAAATTATTTGTCCAAAAACTGTGTAGGCTGCCTTTTGAGTAGAAAGGTGCTCCAGATTCAGGTATATGAGCCATCAGGGATATTTAGAGAAAATTTTTGCATTGCATAGGATTTAGACTAGACTGCCTCTAAATTCTTTCTAACTTCTTTGGGTTAATGAAAATCCGAAAACAACGCTATGATGTCATTTTATGTAGTACATTCCAAGCGTATCTTTGGAAATATTGGATGTTTCCTGAGCCTTGAAGGAACCATATGCTAACACTTTAGAATTAATTAAGCATACTTGAAAAATATTTTGAACATTTGAAAAGATGGGTAACAACCTTTTCTCCCCTGCATCTTTCTGGAAAACCAAACAAAACATCGTAAGTGGTTGATTATTCCCGTCTCTTATTCAGCTGTGATGGAGACCAAAGCAGTATGCATTTAAACAGCCACGTAACAGCATACCATCTCCTAATTTTATACAAACTTTAATTAGTTTCGATTTATATTAGACGTACTGAAAATTATCAAATTCAATTAATGAGTTTGGAAACAAATTGAGAATTTAGAATGCTTTTCATTCCAGGTTCAGTAGTTAGTGCCAATATGAATTATTTTTTCCTTAAAGATTAAAAACAGCTTTGAAATGCAACTTGGTTTAAAATATAAAAAAGGATGAGTTCATGTCCCTTGCAGGGACATGGATGAAGCTGGAAACCATCATTCTTATTTAGCAAACTAACACAGGAACAGAAAACCTAACACCTCATGTTCTCACTCATAAGTGGGAGTTGAACAATAAGCACACATGGACACAGGGAAGGGAACATCACACATCAGGCCTGTCGGGAGGTGGGGAGCAAGGGAAGGCAGAGCATTAGGAGAAATACCTAATGTAGGTGAAGGGTTGATGGGTGCAGTAAACCACCATGCCACATATATACCTACGTAACAAACCTGCACTTCCTGCACATGTATCCTAGAACTTAAAATATAATAAACAAACAAACCAATGAAAATATAGAACATTGATTTCTCTGCAACAATGAAAAAATCCAGATAATATACAAAATTATAACTTCTTCTGAACCCCACTGATATTTGAGGTCACAAAGTGACCAAGTAAACCAAACTACACAGTGAAAACCGTTCCAAAGAGAGTTGGGGCACACAAAATGTTCAAACTTTGGCAGAGCACAGGAGAAAGAAATGGTCACCATACACATGAGTAGGAAGAAATTAGCTAAAATTCAACAGATTTTTTAAAGGCCAGGTGTGAGTTAGCATGTCAGTTTGGAATACCAGGAAGCCCAAGATACATGGTGAGTTTACAATCTCCTGCAAGCTTTTTTCCAAGGATGCCTATCAGTTTTTTGGGGAAAATACTGAAAGCCGTGCGGGAAACTGAAGTCATATTCTGTGGTGCAGGTGTGTAGGTAACCAGCTGTTTCTGGGAGACAGTTATGGGGCTCTGTCCACTTCTGTGGATCCTTTTTGCATAAGAAGTAAAACTCTAAGCTGCAAGGGGAGGAGCAGCAAACCCTGTGTTTCCCTGAGCCCAGGCAAAAACCCCTTGCTTCTGGAGAAGTAAAAAGCAAAACAGTCTTGTCCCTGGGGGAGAAGTAGGACATAGATGAGAAGCTCCTTTGCTGTTGAAGGAAGGGTAGAAGCAAAAGGACTTTGCATCTGGGGAAAGGCCAGGAAACTTGTCTTGGGTTCAAGATCTTACCTGGATACCAATTAGACGTCAGGGACAAGGAGCAATAAACTCTCGTTTACTGCGAACGACTAACTGCAGAT